TCTTGTCGATGGCTTCCAGGAGCTTAGAAGTCACTGCTCCCATCCACACGACCAGGAGGAAGCTGAGCAAGCTGGGGGTCAACAACTCTCCTTAGATCCTCCCAAGAAGTGAGGCCACAGGACAAGCCGCGGCCCCAAACTAGGGAGAGAGGTGCTTGGTCACAGAGCATCACAACTCACCCAGCAGAAACCCGGGGACAGGGAACTCCAGGGAGTCTCCCCTGCACTGGACGAACTGCCAGGGCCTCACTGAGACCAAGTCTCAGAGTTAAAGCTCCTGGGGGCCGTCCTCACGCCCCCACACTTTTGTGGGCTTTACCACCAGAGGCCCTGCCAGGTTTTCACAGTGAAAATTAGAAAAACAGTCCCCTCGAGCATCCGTCAGGGGAGGAGAACAGCCATTTTGTAATGTGTCCAGAGTGTTATATTCTTTTTGGCAAGGCCTGCCCAGCTGAGCAGCTTTTGTGGGGCTTCTGTGGAGCTGGCCAAGAGTCTTGCTTTCCTTACTTCCAAGTCTGTTCTTACAAAACACTCTGCATTTCTACAGGCAACGTGAATGAGTTTCTCAGTGTCCACAGCCCCATTCACACCATCTCTTTTAAGCCCGCAGCAACCCTGAGCCCATTTTACAGCAGAGGAAACTGAGGCCCAGAGAGGCTAAATAACTTGTCTAAGGTCATAATGCTGGTTAACAGGGGCTATGCCCCTTCCACTGTACCTTGTGCTGCTTTGATGGATTCTTCAGGCTCAGGGAAGCTTCCAGAAGATGCAACCCCAGCTAACATCTTGACACAACCTTGCAAAAGACCCAAAGCCAGAACCACCTAGCTGAGTCACTCCCAAATGCCTGACCCACCAAAAACTGTGTGATGAAACACATGGATCATTCTAAGCCACTGTGTTTTGGAGCCATTTGTCATACAGTCCATCTGCCTCTAAGTGCCAATGGCGGTGTATTCTGTCAGGAGACGTTTTCACCCATGCTCTGGGTTGAACAAGTTTCCTGTGGTGTCGAAGTCAGACAGATCCTTTCCTGAACTAGTGTTTAAGCAATACATCTGAGTTCCAAATGACAGGGTGGCTGGGGGTAGGCTGTAAAGGGAACACCAGTCAACCTGTTCCAAGTGAGCTGAGAAAACAGGGTCCATCTCTCTCAGGTATTTTAGGTCTCAAATGGGTAACAAAGTATTTCCATGGAGGATTATTCTGTCTGTCTCTTCCCACCCCGCACCGTCTTTTGCAGTGAGGCAAAAGGGTAGTCCTGTAATTGTCACAGGTGTCATCACTGTGTGATGTGAAACCCTAGGGACTCAGTGAACAGGCAGGAAGCAGTATTGAGGGCACAAGAAGGACCCGAGAAAGATATAGCAGCAGCAGGAAGTGACACTCAGCAGACAGGAAAAGGGGATGATGAGAAGGCAGAGGAGGGTCTGGGCTCCCCAGTCATTCGCCAAATTCTTAGTGAGCTCCAGGCCATCAAAGATGCTTCTGTGTGTGGGCGCCTGTGTGGATAGCAGCTTTCAGATATAGAGGCTCCCCGTCCCTAGCCCCAGCCGACTGCCTTCATATTCAACCAGGACCAGGGCTGTCGGATTTCCATGAGGGTCCTGTCTTGTGCTGGGTGGGGCTCTGCTCTGCTGCCTTGCACATATCCACTGGGAACAACAGTCCCTGCGAGGACCTCTTCGGCTCAAGGCAGGGGGGTGACCCATCTCAGTGCTTCCTGTGGGTGTGGCTGCGTGGTGTGATTCTCTGACTCGGGAAGATAAAGAACGGAGGGTCAGAGGTAACCCCCCACCCTCAGGGCAGCACAGTCCCACAGAACTTTCTGTAGTGACGGGGACGTCCTTACCTGCACTGCATTGGCCACGTGAGTCTCCAGAGCCATCAGTAATTGTCACAGTGTAGCTCATGCCACCGAGGGGTAGAATGTCTAATGTGGTTTCATTTTAATTAGAGTATAAATGTAAGTAGCCAGATGTAGCTAGTGGCTTCTGAGTTGTACAGCACGGTTCTTAATCCTTGTTTTGGGCCTATAAACACAATCTCTCTCGAGATTTTTTTTTTTAATTTTAAATTAGGGTAGATTTACACAGAGTGAAATTCACTCTTTTTAGTGACCAGTTCTGCTCCATTAAACAAATACATAGGGTCATATAATCACCACCACAATCGTCACCCCCTCCAAAAAAGTTTCCTGTGTGTCATTTTTATGGTCAGTCCCCAGACCTCCAGTCCCTGGCAACCACTCATCTGTGTCTGTCTCTGTAGTTTTGCTTTTTCCAGAATGTCCCATAAATGAAAGCATTTGGGATTCATCCGTGTTGCTCTGTATATGGGTACCTTGCTCCTTTGTGTGGCTGCACGATATTCCAATGTTTGTTATCCATTCCTCAGCTGAGGACCATTTGGTTTGTCAGGTTGTTTCCAGTTTGGGGTGATTATGAATAAACCCACTATAAATATTCGTGTTCAGTTTATTCACATTGTTGTGCAACCGTCACCACCACCCATCTCCAGAACTTTTTTGTTTTGTAAAACTGAAACTCTGTCCCCGTTAAACACTAACTCCTCATTCATTCCCCTCCCCCAGCCCCAATAACCAACCTTCTACTTTCTGTCTCTAGGGATTTGACTCCTCTAGGGACCTCATATAAGTGGGATCATACAATATTTGTCTTTTTAGGACCAGTTGATTTCACTTAGTGTAAAGTCCTCAAAGTTCATCTATGTTAGCACACGTGTCACAATTTCCTTTCTTTTTAAAGTGACTGATATTCCATGGTATGGATGGACCACATCTTGTTTTTCCATTCACCTGTCCATGGACACTTGGGTTGCTTCCACCTCTTGGCTATCGTGAATAATGCTGCTGTGAACATGAGTGTACAAATAACTTTTCAAGACCCTGCTTTCCATTCTTTTGAGCTTATACCTAGGAGTGGACTTGCTGGATCATATGGTTATTCTATGTTTAACTTTTTGAGGAAACACCATACCTTTTTCCATAGCAGCTGCACCATTTTACATTTCCACCACCAGTGTGTATGTAAATTTCTTTGTATGAGATAAATATTGCTTCAATCCCCCAACTTCTCTCCATGTCCCTCCTTGCCTGGTCTGCTAGCTCCTGACTAGCCTCCCACGGTCACTCTGACCCCTTTCCGGTCCAGGCTCCAGCGGACAGTCTGTGATTCCATTTCAAATATGGGGGTGTCCATGCTGTCCTTGTGCCTAAAACCCCTCAGCCATTTCTACCGCTTTTGGGATCAGACCCAAATCCTCTTATGACCTAGTGTGGTCCCTGTCCTCTTTAGCCCAATCTGGTTCCACTGAGTGGTCACTCTTCACCCACAGTGACCTGTCAATCCCTGGAAGGTGACATGCTCCTTTCCTGGACTGGAATGCTATCCCCCAACCCCAGCCCCTAACTTAATGGCTCCAGCTCATCCGTGGACTTTCCTTCGAGTGTCATTCCTTAGGAAAGAGACCCCTGACATCATGTTCACTGCTTTTCTCCCCTCAGGTAGGTTCTCTTGTTACAGCCTCTCACAAAAATGTGTTACGTGCCTCCCAACACTTATCTCTATTTGCACTTATGTATCCAATCATGTGACAATTGCATTAATATTGATTTCAGCCCCTGGCTGGAAAGTGGGTAAGGAGACAGGCTTCCCACCCACAGCTCCCCACACACTCATGTCACTACACGCAGCAATGCCTCACAGGACTTGTGACAGTCATAATTTTATCCTTATTAGTCTGTGCGCTTAATTCATGCCTGCATCTCCCCCCTAGACTGTAAGCTCAGCTAGAGAGGGTCTATTTTCTCATGCTCCATGATTCAACGACAGAAGTGTGGAAACACTGCCACCTTTTCTAAGGGGACCCGGCTGAATAAGGAATGCATGACCAGGGTACTGAAGAGCTAAACGATCCAAACGATGCCCCAATTGACCAGATGCCCCAATTGGCCAATTCCATGTGTGCAGCTAAGGTCTCTCTCCCCAGACATCTACCTCCCCTGATTGGACTGTGAGGGGTTTGAAGGGCAGGCAGTGTCCGCCTCATTTTCGCAGATACCTAGCATGGGTCTTGGAGTATTTGATGTAACTATAGGTTGAGGGAATGGGTGACTCCAAAAAGGAACACAGGGATTCAGAGATGGCACACACCTTTAGGCAAACACCTTTAGGCAAACTTCAGTTACAGTATGAAAACCTTCCATTTGGGTGCTTAAGTATGATCGCACTTTGGGGTTGCAGATGGAATGGCTCGGGCCCAGGAGACTGCTGAGGTCATTGGTTCCTTTCTCCAGAGACTGAGGATGAAAACTTTTAGACATTTTTGGGGTTCCCCTCACTGGGTCCCTAGTATGACGGACAGGACAGCCCATAGCCAGGGGCAGTGGGTTAGCTCCGGGGCGAGCGAGGCAGGCACCACCCCGGGGAGCCCTGGCG